GCTACATGCACACTCAGACACAGAGGGGGATTGCCACACTTCTGTAGAAACGCGTACGGTACAGTCAGCTACATGCACACTCAGACACAGAGGGGGAATGCCACACTGCTGTAGAAACGCGTACGGTACAGTCAGCTACATGCACACTCAGACACAGCGGGGGAATGCCACACTGCTGTAGAAACGCGTACGGTACAGTCAGCTACATGCACACTCAGACACAGAGGGGGAATGCCACACTGCTGTAGAAACGTGTACGGTACAGTCAGCTACATGCACACTCAGACACAGAGCGGCTCACCTTGCTCCGCGATCTCGATCTCACGCCGGCCGAACTCTGCCTGCTTGACGTTCTTCACACAGAAGTCACTGCTGCCCTTGGAGTTGACCTGCGGTTTGTCCCGGGGTGATGTTTCATCGTCTGAGCTGTCCGTGTAGGAGGCCGCTGAGGGGTGTAGAGACATTATGCAAAGCAGGAGCATCAGCATGAGACGGGCTATTGGAAGGCATAGCAGGACCTGGACTGTTTGTGGAAAATTTGAAATGTCCCACAATATGATAAAAACATGTTATTTTAACATTGTGGGGACATTTTTTTGGTCCCCACAAAGGGAACCTCAATTTTATAAAAATCAGTGACCAATCAAAAACCTCAAAATGCCATCAGACTTGTATTTTGCTAGACTAGACTAACAAAACACACACATCCAGTACACCATAGTGTTTTCTTATGTGCAATATTTCATTTGAGTGCAATTCCACAGTGTTGTACAAATATTTATATTTATATATTTCCACTCTGTACATATACTGTATATATATAGTTTTTATCCTACTGTTTTTCATTTTTGCTGCTATATTCTTGTACTGTCCACTTTCTGTCGTGACAATGCAAATTTCCCACTTGTGGGACTAATAAAGGATTGTCTTATCTTATCTTATCTTATCTGTTACTTGTAGTTAAGTTTAGGGCTGGGTAGGGGTTAAGGTTGTCATAGTTAGCATTAGCATTTTTCCCATTGAAATGAATGAGCGGTCCCCATAAGGATATGTATACCCTACATGTGTGTGTGTGTGCGTGTGGATACCTGAGCTGTAGCTGTCTGTTGACGACTGAGAGATCGATCGGGAAAGGGAGCGTCGTCCTGCCTTGGTGGGAAACTTGCTGAATTCCTGCTTATCCTCTGAAGTTACGAACTGGATCTGCTACAGAGATGAGGAGTGGGCATCCAGTGAGACAAGTGACCAGCAATCGTCAGGTGACACACACACACATACGAAGAGGGGTGATTATCATCATTGAAACCCTAACACACATGCATACAGAACAGCAAACATCACATGGTGGCTCAGTGGGTAGTGCTGTTGTCTCACACTTCTGTGGTTGAGAATTTGACTCCAGCATTCCCTCTGTGCATGTGGCGTTTACCTTGTCTTGCTGTGTCATGCAAGTTTGCGCTGGGAATGCATACTGTATATGTGTTTGGCTAATCTGGTTCCATAAATTGCCCGCAGTGCCCGGTGATGATCTTGGCCAGGATGTTCTCTTATCATGTGTGCTATACTGCTGGGACAGGCCAAAGATACATGGTTGGAAAATTTATGGATATTGATCATCACCTCCAAAGTGTTAACACACACCGAACAGTTACTATAAAGGACTTATAAGCGCGCGCGCGTGTGTGTGTGTGTGTGTGTGTGTGTGTATATATATATATATAAATACAATCATCTCACAATTACAGCACTCACATTAACATTTGCACAGAACAGTGATCATCAATATCAAAGCACTATCTCTCTGAAATACACAGCACAACGATTATCACAACTAATGCACCAACACACACATATATACAACAAACCTTCTGGGAAAATAACATTGTAAATATATCCCTTGCGCTTAGTGAATTGCCTCAGTGCTGCACAGGTTCCAGAGTGATGAAAGTGTGTAACTTTGTATACCAGTAAGCTCAAGACCTAGAAGGAGTTTTGTATTCTTTGTAAAGGCACATAACTAAAATGACTCCCTACATTCTTGGGCAAAACTGTATTGCATGAAATACACTGGTTCTCTGCTCCTGTTGTGTAACAGTTTATAAACAGCACCAATGATCCTTCTATCAGAAAAAGCTATTATGTAACCAAAACTCAATGTACTTCAACAATTTCTGACATTTTTTTGAGTTTGTATGTCTTAACAGATCAGCCAGGGTAAGGGAACACTCTGCTACCAGCCTGTTCTAGGGGTCCAACATCTTCATCTTTTCCTGCTGTTGCTGAGCTATTTATGTTCCCAGACCAACTACCTGGTGGGGAAAACCACCTTTGCCAAAGCTGCCTTCCCTCCACAGGCTCCTGTGATCTAAATCAAAGCAGGAAAGCAGCAGGAACCTATGATTGCATCTGTGATATTTGTACTGTCACAGTGTTCCCTTTTCGGCATCCTTTCTCCACATTATTTCTGTCCATGACTTAATAAAAAGTCACAGATCAGTTGCCTATCTGGCTCACTGAGCAGATCTGTTCAGCAGTAATTTATCTCCAGATCCAGGAGATTAAAGCTTTACGTCCTGTGATTTAATTACACATGAACACTAAGCAGCCTTCACATCTAAGCTAATAAAGGTTTTGGTTTTTATTAACCCATAATCCACTATGGAAAATGAATACAAATTAATGACTAATTTTATGAAACAACAGTCGAGAAAAAATTAAAGCGTGTGTGTGTGTGTGTGTGTGTGCATGTACACACACACGCCTACAAAGCCACCTACACATATCGCATCACATGACCTGGCCACCTAACCTACAGATAGTAGATACAGTTTTGTATGGTTTTGGAGGAGTTTGACCAGAGAGTGACGGAACGAGGCTAAGAAGCACTCAGCATATGTGGGAGCTCCTTCAGAACATCTGGAAAGGCATCCCAGGAGGCCACCTCATGAAACTAGTGAGGAGGAGACAGCAGGGTCATCCAGACCCTGGGGAAATTCAGGTTAAGGGCCCTGCTTAATCATAACAAGTAGCCAGTACTTGAATACTTAAGCTACCCAAAACCTACACAAATTGCAGTCTGCAATGATGCTTTTGCTAACACAATTTCCATGAATCACAGTTTTTTCGTCATTCTGTTCCCATTTTTTGTCTTTGAATGCCATTTCATTTTTTTGTCTGGATTTTCATTTTGTAGCTGCTCATTGTTCTCCTCTGTTTCCTCAATCTACTGCAACTGCAGTTGTTTTTTTGTTTTTTTTACTAACCCCAGTCTTTGAACATGGCAGCAATTTGTGATGCTGTAATCATCACCCACAATGCAGTGCATGTGTAAAGTGTGCCTTGTCATGAAATCATTTGGTTGGCTAAAGGTACAGTACATTCTTCTAGCATGCCTAGAAAGAAGGAAATATGAGAGTATTATTAATTCATGTACAAAAGGCTTAGATTCCAGGACATTCTTGCTCAATGGTAATTACCACAGCAATATTAGCCTGTAGCTCTGCTATTCGTTTGTTTTATATTCCTGTTCTATGTTCCTTCTTTGAATAATGCAGGAAACAAGGTGATTACACTGGTGAGCTGCTTTCAGAAACTTTGAAATATACTCTGTGTATGCAGTAAAGCCTTAGATCGAGCCATTATTGCTCTTTAAATGATGACTTATTTGTAGCTCCTCTGGTACTACTCCAAGGCCACTGGGCGGCTATAAGACCAGAGCTGCCATCTCTCATGCATCTGGTGTGACCCTCACACTTTCAGACTCTCAGGCTCGCGCAAGAAATGTCACGGCAAATCTATATTATTCCATTATAAACCTAAAATTAGATACATCAAAAGCATTCAGGTAGTTTGCAGACCTTACAGACTATTTACAAAGTAATAAAACTGTTACATACATGTAACTGTGTGTGCATGTGTGTGCTGACTTGTCTCGAATTGAAAATCACAATCCAGCCAGCTGACCAAAGTTGGCGACCCTGTCAGACTTGCTGTTGGGGTGATATGAGACTGAGTACGAGGGACACAAGGGCTAATTATATATCAGTAAGTGGGATTACATAACGGCATCAATTGTTCTGATGTCTCTCCTGCTCTCTCTCTCCAGTGAAAAAAGAAGCAAAATCCCCATCAAATTCAGATACTGTGCAGCAAAACTACAAACCTCCATTACAGCTGAGTACAGACATGACATGAGTGGCTTTGTTTCCCAGGGCACTAACGACAGTCATGTAGTGCTGAACAGCACGTAATCTCCCATTTTGGGGCTGATTTAACCCCATCAAAGAAATTTTATTAAGTCCGTAAATCCAAAAAAACATGAAAGAACCTGTTATATGCCTGCCTTTAAAAAGCAACACGCATGAGCGAAATGGGACAGGCTGCAGACCACGTGAGCCTGAATAGGACAGTGGATATAGAAAATGGATGGATAAGTCCCCCGATTTAAAATAATAATAAGGTGCACAAATACATAAACAAAACAAAATGTTTTTATGTCTACCTTCCTCTGCAATGAAAGTGAAAAGCTTTCATGGAGCAAATTCCCTTTTTCCACTTGGCTGAGAAGGAAACTTCAGTAGAACATGGCACGTGGATTACATGGTTTTGTCGACTGCAAATTTTTGGAAACACTCAGAAATGTACCTTCCTGAAAATGAACAGCTGGATTACTGGTGCCAACAGAACGTGTTTCCTACTGTGGAAAAACAGAAGGAAACTTTTCAAGCTTTGTCTTTACCTTTTTGGATTTTTTTTTAGCTAGTATTAGTTTATTACAATGTGAGCCAGCAGTCAAACATCACAGTCCTGCAAAAATGCAACACATAACCATAAGATAAAACATGCAGACTGTCCCTCAGCTAACAGAGACTGGAGGAATTCCAGAGCTCTCATTCCTGTCCCTGGCAGGTTGGTCTCCCTACCTCTCCTCTCATGCTGCACTAAATTATTTAGGACTGAATCCTGCAGAAAACACCACAGCTCACGTCCCATGAAATCTGCACTGGCACCGGGCTGCATACATGTTCACGTTCACCATCCAAGGAAAAGGGCACTGCATGAAAAGGGCACTGCATGAAAAGGGCACTGCATGACTTTCTGACACAATTTCAGACACAGTGTTGTCCAAGCAGATAAGGAGAATAACTAAAAACTTAACTTTAAAACTTTAAAAACTTTTTTATGATTATAAAAGCCTTGCTTTGCCAAGCTCACATTTGCTGCCAATAAATGTAAAAGACCACACAGAACAAAAGGACAGCTGTATTAAGATCTAGGACATCTACATCAAAAACAAAGCATTCTCATCTCATAGGCAGATCAGCTGATCTACAAATCGAACAGTTCAAGAGTCCTGCTCATGCGTCTGCACACACCTCGCACTGTGGTTACCTTGAATTGTTTTCCTAATCTCCATTGATCATATATATTATTATAGATTATTCTCAGTCGTCTGATGTGATTCACTGGTGTCTTGTATTCTTCTGGTATTATTGACCTCTGAAACAGAAATCTTAAAATAACAGAGGCACTGATTAGAAATTAGATATTAAGTGTCCTTCTTTAAAAAATAAAAATACTGGTCTTAGGAGCAAAAATGGTCCTATGATCCCATTGCTTCCCTATTAAATCTTCTTCAGCACTTCCACTGATAAGCCGACACTGATGTGTGACCCAAGCAGCCGCTCTTACAGTGCTGTGCGGCTTTTACAAGTTAGATGAAGGTGCAGCAATCAGTGTCTTAATGACACAGAAGCCTGACAAGCCAAACTGGATGTACAAAAACCTCTGAAGAACAAATATAAAACCTAAGGTTTAAAGAACAATGGGAGTCTGAGTTATAATGGGATTGTGGGTTATAATGGAAGCTTGGGTATCTTTGCTGGCAGCAACATAAACAAAGTAAATACACATATCAGTATGCACACTGGAAGTGCGGACACAGTGCAAATGCAGCCCTTGTCGGCTCGAATTTTTCAGATGTAAGGGAAATCTGAACTCCACCCTAGCCTTGAAAAGGTAAAACTGGGCTGAAAGATCTCATCCTTAGAAAGGTCAACATCAATCACGGAGAGGTGCGTCATGTGTAGAAATGACAGCAGTGGGCGTACCGAGGCTTTGAATCCTACAGTGAGGGATTACTCTGTACTGTCAGTCTCAAATGGTTTTTGAAGTCTCGCTTCTCTCAACACTGGGAATGGGGCATG